AGACAGACAGACAGACAGACAGACAGACAGACAGATATGGATGGATGGACGGACAGATGGATGGACAGACAGGCAGGCAGATAAGACAATAAATGATAAAGATAAATTAGAGATTAGACAGACAGACAGGATAGACAGACAGACAGACAGACAGGATAGATAGATTAGACAGACAGACAGACAGACAAAGACAGGATAGATAGATAGATAGACAGACAGACAGACAGACAGACAAAGACAGGATAGATAGATAGACAGACAGACAGACAGACAGACAGATATGGATGGATGGACGGACAGATGGATGGACAGACAGGCAGATAAGACAATAAATGATAAAGATAAATTAGAGATTAGACAGACAGACAGGATAGACAGACAGACAGACAGGATAGATAGATTAGACAGACAGACAGACAAAGACAGGATAGATAGATAGATAGACAGACAGACAGATATGGATGGATGGATGGATGATGGATGGACAGATGGACGGACAGACAGGCAGATAAGACAATAAATGATAAAGGTAGATAAATTAGAGATTAGACAGACAGACAGGATAGACAGACAGACACACAGACAGACACACAGACAGACAGGATAGATAGATTAGATAGATAGATAGATAGATAGATAGATAGATAGATAGATAGATAGATAGATAGATAGATAGATAGATATGGATGGACGGACAGACAGATGGACAGACAGGCAGATAGATATTCTTAAATGCAAAAATATAGTCAAAATATAATTCAGCAAGATGGAGAGGAAGGGAGCCAGGTGGGCACAGAGATGAGGTGGGGTGTCCTCTACTCCATCAGCCACCTCCAACGTGCCACCTCCCATTGGGGTCCCAGGATAGTTGGCACAGCCATGTCTTCAAGGCTTTTTTGGAAGGCCAAGAGGATGGAAGCGGATCTGACCTGGAGGAGGGGGGGGCATATGTTCCAGAGGGTGGGAACCACAGCAGAAAAGGCCGTCCTGGACCCTGCCAGCCAGAATTCCTTCGCTGACAGGCTCCACGGCATGCCCCTTCTGCTGGCACAGGTGGGATGGGCCAATGCCACGGGGATGAGCCGGTTTCCCAGACAGCCTGGCCCACAGCACCATCGGCGTTCCCGACGACCACCTGAATGTCTTATTAAAACGGATCTGCCGTTTTCTCTCTCTCAGGAATCAACCTCTCCCTGTTTAAATAAGCTCAACGCTTATTTAAACATCGTGAAACTAAACGCAAAACCGCAGGAACTTGGCAGATGTCCCACGCACTATGAGAAACCTCAGAGAAGCAAGGAGTGAAAGTCAGAGAAAAATTAATGGGAATGAACATCAGTCCTGAGGGGCAAAGGCAGAAACCTTCATCCAAGTCAAGGCATCGACAGAGAAACAGAAAACACTTAACCTGTTTGCCTGAAGGGATAAAATACAGGCGGTCCTCAACTTACAACAGCTCGTTTAGTGACTGTTTGAAGTTACGACGGCACCGAACGGTGACTTAGGACCGTTTTTCACACTTACAACCGTTGTGCCATCCCCAAGGTCCTGGGATTTACATTTGGATGCTTGGCAACTGGCATGTACTTACGACGGCTGCAGTGTCTCTTGGCAACTGACATGTACCTACGACGGATGCAGTGTCTCTTGGGATCACGTGATCCCCTGTTGGGATTTTCTGACAAGGAACATCAATGGGGAACCGCAATTCCCTTTATCACAATCCATCACAAGATCTCATGTTCAGGGTACACGTCTTATATATTTGAATTCTCACCACGTTACATCAACTGATTAATAATACAATACAATGTTCTTATTTTCTGGTCATTTCCAAATATCTTACATTTAGTAACCAACATTTCTCTTATTTCAACACTGAATGCTCTACTATCTCATATTACCGCTAAGTAAAAACAAATTTATGACATTTATTTAAAACCTGGAAATTATAAATATGAAACGTTAAATTTAAATATTAATGGGAAACTAAAAATTGGGGAAAACCAACCAGGAGATTGATTGTCTAAAAAGATTGAATGTTAAAATAACTAGGATATGTATAAACTAAAAGTTGTTGACAAATGTAAGAAAGTTATTTTTATTAAATTGATATAATAAGAATTGTATTAACTTCAATATGAGACAGTAAATACCAAGGGGAAAAGAGAGGAAACACTGAATGTAATAGTTTGTGATCTGTACTAAAGATATTTGTATGATACTGAATTATTGACCAACTCAGTCGCCACGTTGCTTTTCAAATATTTAAATGTAAAACTAGAAAATCAATAAAATTTTCTTAAAAAAAAAAAAAGAAGAAGAAGAAAAGAAAATCAATGGGGAAGCCGGATTGATTTAACAACTGCAGTGTTCCAATCTCTCAGGGGCTGCCCCAAAGAAGAGGGAGTCAAGCTATTCTCCAAAGCGCCTGAAGGCAGGACAAGAAGCAACGGATGGAAACTAACCAAGGAGAGAAGCAACCTGGAACTAAGGAGAAACTTCCTGACAGTGAGGACAATTAACCAGTGGAACAACCTGCCTCCAGAAGCGGTGAATGCTCCAACACTGGAAGCTTTTAAGAAGAGACTGGACAGCCATTTGTCCGAAATGGTATAGGGTTTCCTTCCTGAGCAAGGGGTTGGACTAGATGACTTCCAAGGTCCCTTCCAACTTTATTATTATTATTATTATTATTATTATTATTATTATTATTATTATTATTATTATTATTATTATTTAAGGACCGTGGCAAGAAAAGTCCCAGAATGATGCAAAAGCCACTTAACAACTTTCTCACTTTACAACATAAATTTTGGGCTCAATTGTGGTCATTAGTTTGAGGACGACCTGTACTCGACTTAGGATCACAATTGAGCCCAACATTTCCGTCGCTAAGCAAGACAGCTGTTAAGTGAGTTTTGCCCCATTTTACGACCTTTTTTGCCACCAGAGGGATTGATCATTCAGAAGATATATGAGTGTGCCAAAATGGATGAACTCACTCTAGCACTAAAAGAAAAAGACGATTCGGAATTTTATGCGGTTTGGGAAAAATGGTATACCTGGATAGATAACAGAAACTGGAAATATACATAAGACTATTGTGAATTAGATATTGAATGTATATAGTGTATATGTGGTATAGAATGTGAATCCGAAGTATATAAAAATGACACAGTCTGCTGAATATGTATTAAGAGTCGTATAAAGGAAAATGGTAATAAAAATTATTTAAAATAAATAAATAAATAAATAAAATGGAAAGGGCTGCTATCTACGATTAAGTTCATTTTTTTTTTAAAAAAAAAACAAGTTTTATTAATTTCCCAGTTTTACAAAAATCCAAATATTAAGGAAGCAGCATGGTGATTGGGTGATCCATAATCCAATAACAAGCTCTTTCGTACATATGCCAGGTTACATCATCAAAGGTTCCCTCTCTATTTCCCTTGATTATTATATCACATTCAAATTAATACATTGCTAATTATAACTCAATCGGTTCAGACATTTATCAGTATATTTTAACTTATGTGTACCCACGTCCTGTTTTAAAATTTTTACCTAGAAAAGTCACCCGTAAAATCTAAGTCCGCAATCAGCACATCGTAAGGCAGTGGTTCTCAACCTTTTTAATGCCGCGACCCCAACCGATCGTAAGTCGAGGACTAAACCGGTCGTAAGTCGAGGACTAAACCGGTCGTAAGTCGAGGACTAAACCGGTCGTAAGTCGAGGACTACCCAACCGGTCATAAGTCAAGGACTTTCCCTGCCCGGGAGCGCCGCGCATGCGTGGTTCCACCCCCTGCGCCGGCCGAGGCGTAGCTGGCAAGCGGCAGAGACGGAGCAGGCTGACCACCAGCTGGCCCAGCGCAAGGGAGGTAAGGCACCCGCTGGAAAAGGGGAAAAAAATGGCGGACAAAAAAATGGCGGACAGCCTTGCTTGGCGACCCTCATGAAATGGTCGATCGACCCCAAATGGGGTCCCGACCCACAGGTTGAGAACCACTGTCGTAAGGGATCAAATGCTGAGCTGGGAAAAAAGACTTTTTGGCACTTACCAGCTCCATCAGATGTCTCAGCTGTCCGATTTCTTCCGGGATGGAGACCAGTTTATTGTTGCTGGCTATCAAAACTTTTAAGGGAAGGCTGCACAAGTGGACCGGCAACGTTGAGAGCTGGTTACGGCTTTTTGGGAGAGGAGAGAAAAAAAAAAAAAGAAACAAGGCGTCAGAAGAGGACCCACATATATCATCGTGTCAGAATACAAAGACTTTGGCCCCTTTTCGGCACACAAATTCAACAACCGAGTCGCCCTTTTTTCTAAAGGGAAAAGAGCAATTATTTATTTTTGTCCCCTTTAGCTGAAGTCCCAAATTCACAGACAGTTGTTTGTTGATGGTTCCCAGGTGCTCTCTGAGCTTGGGCGTTTTCCTGCAGCTCTTTCATTACTAACTAGGTAACATTACCAGTGCGAGGAGGAGGAGGAGGAGGAGGAGGAGGAGGAGGAGGAGGAAGGCTGTGGGGTCCTTGGTGCTCTCTGAGTTTGATGGTTTTCTTGCAGACATTTCATTACCCCACTATATAATATCATCAGGGCTCAAAAGATGTGAGGTTTGTGGACTGGGAGAAGGAGAAGGGGAGGAGGAAGGGGAGGACAAAAAGGACTGTGAGGTCCTTGCTGCTCTCTGAGCCTGGTGGTTTTCTTGCAGATGTTTCATTATCCAACTAGGTAACATCATCAGTGGATGGGGCTTTGCACATCAGTGGATGTGCGGCCCGGTACCGGTCCATGGACCAGGCATTGGGAACCCCTGCTCCAAAGCGCCTGAAGGCAGGACAAGAAGCACCGGATGGAAACTCATCCAGGAGAAAAGCAACCTGGAACTAAGGAGAAACTTTCTGACAGTGAGAACAATTAACCAGTGGAACTCCTTGCCTCCAGAAGTTGTGAATGCTCCAACACTGGAAGTTTTTAAGAAGAAACTGGACAGCCATTTGTCTGAAATGGTACAGGGTTTCCTGCCTGGACAGGGAGTTGGACTAGATGACCTACAAGGTCCCTTCCAACTACTACTACTACTACTACTACTACTACTACTACTACTACTACTACTACTACTACCACTACTACTACTACTCATTATTATTATATTATTATTATTATTATTATTATTATTATTATTATTATTACTACTACTACTACTACTACTACTACTACTACTACCTGTACCCGGCCACGCGTTGCTGTGGCTCAGTCTGGTTAAATGGAAAAGTATATAATAGTAGGTATATAAAAACATGCGCGTATTCGAATGCAACGTTGTGTCAAAATTTCAAAGCAATCGGTGAAGAACTTTCGGAGATTTAAGATTTTGAACAAGCGAACATTTACATTTTTATTTATATAGATGATGATGATGATGATGATGATGATGATGATGATGATGATGATGATTTCTTTGGGATTCATTCAACAAGTCTGCCCAAATCCCCTCTCAGTCCATCAAATCAATCAATCAAGTCACCTAAACACTCAGCCTGCAAATCTAACTTCATCCTTGTGTGATGAGGTGAATAACCTCTCAGCTGTAACCTGTACAACAGCCCCAAATTCCTCTCTGGAATTCCTTCCTGCCCCACACAACAAAATTGTTGAAACCTGCTGATTGGGAAAGCAAGATTTTAAATTTTTTTAAAAAAAAAATCCGGCGAAAGAGGAATTTTAAAGCACCCAACAAGATAATCACAATATTTTTTTTTACTAAAACACACCAAAAAAAAAGTGGGCCTAAACATTCCAGGTCCGCATTGCCAATTTTCCCACAACTCTGTGGCTTCCAATTGCAAAAGGATTTCCGGCTTGTTTTATAAAGAGGAAACTCCTGCAGCTGAGAGCTGGCGGCTGAACGCTGGTCCAAGAATTTCTATATATATATATAGAAATTCATCTACATGTAATTAGCGTGATCTGTACCTTCTATGCGTTGTTTTCTTTGAGGGATTCTTTTAATTATCCTTACTTGTAAATAAAATATATTTGCTCCTGTTCCAGGATATAAACCTCACGGCTCAATGCAAGGAAGATGCTGAGGCCCTAGAAAGAGGGCAACGAAGAGCCACAGGGAGGATCAGGGGTCTGGAGGGTAAAAGGTAGGATGAATGATTGATGAAACTAGCTACCAGGGGTCCTCGGCGCTCTCTGAGTTTGGATGTTTTCTTGCAGACATTTCGTAACCCAACTAGATAACACCATCAGTGCTAGGGGAGGAGGAGGAGGAGGAGGAGGAGGAGGAGGATGACGACGACGACTATGGGGTCCTTGGTGCTCTCTGAGTTTTGTGGTTTTCTTGCAGACGTTTCATTACCCAACTAGGTAACATCAGCAGTGCTAGAAGGGATGAGGTTTGGAGGAGGAGGAGGAGAACTGAGGGCTTGTTGGTGCTCTGAGCTTGGTTGTTTCTCGCAGATGTTTCATGACCCAACTAGGTAACATCATCAGTGCTGGAGGAGGAGGAGGAGGAGGAGGAGGAGGAGGAGAACTGTGGGGTCCTCAATGCTCTCTGAGCTTGGTGGCTTTCTTTCAGAATTTCAATACCCAGCTAGGTAACATCATCAATGTTAGAAGGGAGTAGAGTTGGTGGAGAGAAGGAGGAGGAGGAGGAGGAGGAGGAGGAGGAGGAAGAGGAGGAGGTAGACGACTATGGGGTCCTCGATGCTCTCTGAGCTTCGTTGTTTCTTGCAGACGTTTCATGACCCAACTAGGTAACATCATCAGTGCTAGAAGGGAGGAGGATTTGTGGAGGAGAGGAGGAGGAGAAACTTCAACCCTGAGCTACAAATAATCTCCTTTATTGGAACTAGGGATGCTTAGCCTAACAAACAGAAGGCTTAGGCTTAGCTCTCTTTGCAGGGAAGAAGGCCTCGATTTATACGCCATAGCACCCGAGGGTAGGGCAAGAAGCAAGGAGGGGAAGCTCCTCAGAGGGAGATCCACCCTGGAAATAAGGAGGAATTTCCTGACAGTGAGAACGATGAATCAATCAGTGGAACTGCCTGCCTCCCAGAGCAACCGGTGCCAGCGGAGTGACTTTGGCCCAATCGCCAGGAGACGGTGAGTTCTAGTTCTGCCTTAGCCACGAAAGCCAGCCAAGTGACTTTGGGCCAGTCCCTCTCTCTCAGCCCAACCCACATTGCAGGACTGCTGTTGTGGGGAAAAATAGGAAGAAAGAAAGAAAGAAGGAAGGAAGGAAGGAAGGAAGATTAGCTATGTGCAGCACCCTGAGTTACTTCTACAGGAAGAAAGCCTGGATAAAAATCCAACTATCTAAATTTGCCACAGATGCTTTACGCGGCCTGCGTTTCTCTTGAGAAGATCGCGATGGATAAGAAACTGAACAAATGAGTGTAAAAAAAATAAAGGACTGGGACGAAGCGGGCTCTCAATCGACCAAACGTTTGGTGTTGTCGTTTGTCTGCTGGCTTCTAGGGAAGCCAAAATGGAGGCTGACAACAACACTGAGGCCTTGTGGAAAGTCAGCACCGTGGCGTTCGAAGCCCCCTCCTGCTACCGAGCCGTCTCAAAGTCTCAGGAAATGTCAGGATCTGTTTTCTTCGGAGCCAGCTATGCTTCTTTGGGAGAAGCCACACACACCATCGCCGAGCTTGAAACTCGCAGCTGTTTAAGTGGATCCCTGCAGGATCTCAAGAGGAGCATTTCAAAAGGAAATGGCACTGGCAGCCACTAGAAATGCACCGGGTCCTGGGATCCTTTTGACACGAAATTGCTTTTAAGAGAAGGATCTTAGCCTTCCCTGTTTACCCCAGCTCAGCTAGCAGCACAAAACAAACATTTTGAAGGGAAGCAGTATCGGACGTTGTCCTCTGACTCATATCCTTTTTTTTTTTTCCATTTGAAAGGAAACTTGCTGTAAAAAGACAAAGGAAGTTAAGGCAGAATTAAATCGCCAGAAGATCGAGTTAAGACAAACCCTGATTCTTTGGCAGCTAGCTGGAGTACAGAATAACAGAGTCGGGAGGGACCGTGGAGGTCTTCTAGTCCAACCCCCTGCTCAGGCAGGAGACCCTGTGCCATTTCAGACAAGTGGCTGTCCAGTCTCTTCTTAAAAACTTCCAGTGTTGGAGCATTCACTGCTTCTGGAGGCAAGTTGTTCCACTGGTTAATTGTTCTCACTGTCAGGAAGTTTCTCCTTAGTTCTAGGTTGCTTCTCTCCTGGATGAGTTTCCACCCGTTGCTTCTTGTCTTTGCCCTCAGGTGCTTTGGAGACTAGGTTGACACACACACACACCCTCTTCTTTGTGGCAACCCCTCAAATATTGGAAGACTGCTATCATGCCTCTCCTATGGTAGTCCTTCTCTTCATTCAACTAGACCAGGGGTAGGCAACCTTGGCTCTTTTATGACTCGTGGACTTCAACTCCCAGAATTCCTGAGCCAGCATGGCTCAGCTTGGAAACCTCTCTCTTTCCCCTCAGCATGGCTGGCTCAGGAATTCTGGGAGTTGAAGTCCACCAGTCATAAAAGAGCCAAGGTGGCCTACCCCTGGGCTAAGGCAAAGGTGGGAAATGATGGCCCTTTTGTGACTTGAGGACTCCCAGAATTCCTGAGCCACCATGGGGGAACTATGGCCCCTTCATGACTCGTGGACTTCAATTCCCAGAATTCCTGAGCCAGCATGGAGGAACTATGGCTGCTTCATGACTGGTGGACTTCAACTCCCAGAATTCCTGAGCCAGCATGGCTCAGCTTGGAAACCTCTCCCTTTCCCCTCAGCATGGCTGGCTGAGGAATTCTGGGAGTTGAAGTCCACCAGTCATAAAAGAGCAAAGGTTGCCTACCCCTGATCTAGGCCTAGGCCACTTTATGACTCGTGGACTTCAACTCCCAGAATTCCTCAGCCAGCCATGTTGAGGGGAAAGGGAGAGGTTTCCAAGCTGAGCCATGCTGGCTCAGGAATTCTGGGAATTGAAGTCCACGAGTCGTAAAAGAGCCAAGGTGGCCTACCCCTGGCCTAGACATACTCAATTCCAGCCACCGTTCCTTGTATGTTTTAGCCTCCAGCCCCCTGATCATCTTTGTTGCTCTTCTCTGCACTTTTTCTAGAGTCTCAACATCTTTTTTGTATCATGGCAACCAAAACTGCACACAATACTCCAAGTGTGGTTTTACCAAGGCATTGTAAAGCAGTGTTGCTACCTCGCCTGCTCTTGATACAAAACAAAACACCTTTTATACGAAACGCTTTTTCACTGAACAGAGCATATTGCTGTAGGGGGGTATAAAGCTCTGCAATCAAATCGGCAAGGATCTCCACTGGAGGATAATGATGTACAAAGACATAAGTGCAAAACCAGCAGTGTTTATCTACATCACCCGGCCCCGAAAAGTCCCAAAATTTTAGAAAACAAATGGTTAGTGCCAGGAAGGAAAAAAAAAAAGAAGCTGAAAAGTTGAGACAGCATTCCTAACCCATGGAAAACCGTCTGACAATGAAACAGCCTGCCTAAAGCTAAACAGAGAACAGGCCCAACATGTTTTCCCCAGATGAAGAATCATCAAAAAAAGAGGTGTCCCAAATTAGTTGGGCTTTAAATTTCCCTGTGGAAGAAGGAATCTGCACAGCAGGAAAATACGTTTTGTTTCAGGCGTGGAATGAAACAGACCCACTCAAAACTAGATGATGATGATGATGATGATGATGATGATGATGATGATGATGGATGTCAAAACTTGATGATGATGATGATGATGATGATGATGGATGTCAAAACTAGATGATGATGATGACGACAACAACAACAACAACAACAATAATAAAGTTGGAAGGGAGCTTGGAGGCCATCTAGACCAACCCCCTGCTCAGGCAGGTAACCCTATACCATTTCAGTCAAATGGCTGTCCAGTCTCTTCTTAAAAACTTCCAGTGTTGGAGCATTCACCGCTTCTGAAGGCAGGTTGTTCCACTGGTTAATTGTTCTCACTGTCAGGAAGTTTCTCCTTAGTTTTAGGTTGCTTCTCTCCTTGATTAGTTTCCATCCGTTGCTTCCTGTCCTGCCTTCAGGCGCTTTGGAAAATAGCTTGACTCCCTCTTCTTTGGGGCAGCCCCTGAGATACTGGAGCACTGCTATCCTGTCCCCCCTCGTCCTTCTCTTCATTAAACTAGACATATCCAATTCCAGCAGCCTTTCCTTATATGTTTTAGCCTCCAGTCCCTTAATCATCTTTGTTGCTCTTCTCTGTACTCTTTCTAGAGTCTCAGCATCTTTTTTACATCGTGGTGACAAAAACTGGATGCCGTATTCCAAGTGTGGCCTCACCAAGGCCTTGTAAAGTGGTATTAACGCTTCACCTGATCTTGATTCTCTCCCTCTGTTAACGCAGCCTAGCACCGCGTTGGCTTTTTTGGCAGCTGCAGCACACGGCTGGCTCCTATTTAAGTGGACCAGTCAAGCTGGCCCCATTTGACCAAGAAAACACTCAAATCACTCACGTTTTATTTCGAATGCAGAAGGCTTGAAATGGCCTTATGTCATCTTTGGAACGACCCGTTTCAAGAATGCAGGCAAGTCCTCGGGTTACGACCACAATTGAGCCCAATGTTTATGTTGCTAAGTGAAACCTTTGTGAAGCGAGTTTTCCCCCATTTTACAACCTTTCTTGCTACAATTGTTAGAGTGAATCATTACAGTTGTTAAGCTGGCAACATTGTGGTTAAGTGAACCTGGCTTTCCCCATTGACTTTGCTTGTCCAGAAGGTCTTAAAAGTGGATCACATGACTTGGGGACACTGTGACCGTCATAAATATGAACCAGTGGCCAAATATATGAATTTTGACCACCTGACCGTGGAGATGCTGCAACAGTCGTAAATGTGGAAAACGGTCGTTAAGTCCCTTTTTTCAGTGCCGTTGTAACTTTGAACGGTCCCTAAACGAACGGTTGTAAGTTGAGGACTGCCTGTACAACTGAAGGACAAAATGTTATAGGGTTTCCTGCCTGAGCAAGGGGTTGGACTAGATGACCTCCAAGGTCTTTTCCAACTTTTTTATTATTATTATTATTGTTGTTGTTGTTGTTGTTGTTGTTGTTATTAAGATCACTTGAAATGCCACTGCTCAAATCAGGCAAGTTTTGTTCCGGGATCAGAACGAAACAGCGTATTTTGCTCCAACTTCCAAACTAACTTTTGAAACACCGGAGTTTCCTTCACGCGCTGGGTTCTAAAAGGGGCCACTTTCAAATCTGGAAGAGTTTGCGTGGTTTTGGACCAGGAGACATGAGTTTTCTTCCCCATTTAGGTCACTGAAAACGGCTTTTTGAAACATGAAACAGTCGGTGCTGTTTTTGTACAAACCCCTTACACAGAAAATCTTTCAAAACAGATATTTTGCTTCGGGCATGTTTTGTTAAAACGAAGAGGCAGCATTTTGTACAACATAGACTGAACTGTTTAGGACTTTAGCCATTAAGGCAGCGTCTCGGATTAAGACCGGAAACAAATTAGAAACAACTTTGTTAATACAGAAACGCTATAATGGGTTTATTGTTCACCAAGTTCTACTCCTGAAATCAAATGCAGAATAATAACCCTTAAAGCTGCACTCCAATGATTCATATGAATAAGATCTGGAAAAGCAGAGATATTGATATAAATACAGAAAGCAGGCTAGTTAGAGCAACAGTCTTCCTGATAATAACGCAGGGGCCTTCAAACTTGGCCCTTTTATGACTCATGGATTTCAACTCCTAGAATTCCTGAGCCAGCATGGCTCAGCTTGGAAACTTCCCCCTTTCCCCTCAGCATGGCTGGCTCAGGAATTCTGGGAGTTGAAGTCCACAAGTCATAAAAGAGCCAAGGTTGCCTACCCCTGCCCTACACCTACACCATTTCAGACAAATGGCTGTCCAATCTCTTCTTAAAAACCTCCAGTGTTGAAGCACCCACAACTTCTGGAGGCAAGTTGTTCCACTGGTTAATTGTTGTAAACTCTCAGGAAATTTCTCCTTAGTTCTAGGTTGGTTCTCTCCTTGATTAGTTCCCATCTATTGACACCCCTTAGTCCTTCTTTTCATTAAACTAGGAATACTCAATTCCAGCAACTGTTCTTTATATGTTCTAGCCTCCAGTCCCCTAACCATCTTTGTTGCTCTTCTCTGCACTTTTTCCAAAGTCTCAACATCTTTTTTTACATCGTGGTGACCAAAACTGGCTGCAGAATTCTAAGTGTGGCCTTACCAAGGCCTTGTAAAGTGGTATTAACTCTTCATGTGATCTTGATTCTCTCCCTCTGTTAATGCAGCCTAGCACAGTGTTGGCCTTTTTGGCAGCTGCAGCCCACAGCTGGCTCCTATTTAACGGATTGTCCACTAGGACTCTGAGGTCCCTCTCACAGTTGCTATTATTGAGCAAGGTGCCCCTATAGCCTAGGACTGTGATGGCTTTTTTGGCAGTCAAGGCTGACGTAGTGGGAAGAGGGGTGGTAGGGCATGATTACCTGATATTCAAAAACGTTAAGGACTGCAAATTCAGGATGGCTTCTGGAATATAACGAATGCAATTCTGGTACAAATTCAAGCTTTCGAGGGAAACGAAGAGGCACGCTTCCTGTGGCAACTCGGAGAGTCGGTTCCGTGATAAATCTGAAAGAGAAGGAGGAATAAAGAGGATGAACCAAGTGAGAATAACCACATCAAGATAAAGATGGGATAACAATAACAATAATAATCAGATCTGCCCATCCCAGGCCCTTGAGAAGGGCTCAATAGATAAGACAAAAATGGCAAATCCAGTCTGAACATCTGGCTGACTGTGCGACGAACCACCACCACCACCACCACAACAACAACAATAATAATAATGTTGGAAGGGACCTTGGAGGTCATCAAGTCCAACCCCCTGCTCAGGCAGGTAACCCTATACCATTTCAGACAAATGGCTGTCCAGTCTCTTCTTAAAAACTTCCAGTGTTGGAGCATTCACCGCTTCTGGAGGCAGGTTGAACCACAATGCAGGTAGTCCTCGACTTAGGATCACAGCTGAGGCTAAAATTTCTGTTGCTAAGCAAGACAGTTGCTAAGTGAGGGTTGCCTCGTTTTACGACCTGTCTCGCCCCGATTGTTAAGTGAGTCACTGCAGTTGTTAAGTTAGTAACATGGCTGTTAAGTGAATCTGACTTCCCCATTGACTTGGCTTGTCAGAATCCTAGGACCCCAGGACGTTGCAACCGTCATAAATATGAGCCATCCAAATTTTGATCGCGTGACCCTGGGGATGCTGCAACGGTCGTTAAGCGGGAAAGCTTTTCTCAGTGCCCTTTGTAACTTCAAACAGTCATCCAATTAATGATTGTTAGTCAAGGAGTACCTGTGATAATAATAGGCTAAAGTGCTCTCAGTCTAATTCAAACAGACAAGCACCTGTCACACAGCACCTCAAACTTAACAAGTGTTGATAAGGAAGACAACGAAGTCTAGATCAGGGGTCCTCACACTTGGCCACTTTAAGACTTGTGGACTTCAACTCCCAGAATTCCCCAGCCAGCCATGCCTATTACTTTCCTCCTGCCTCCTAGAGTGGAGAGACTACAGAGAAAGGGATTATAAGAGAGTAAGCAGGCCACAAAGGGGATGCACATCTCAAAGAATGCATTAGGATCAGGGAATTCTGGGAGTCGAAGTCCACAAGTCTTAAAGTGGCCACGTTTGAGGACCCCTGGTCTAGATAGCGGACATGGCAGTACCTAGACACAGCCAATCAGAAGAAAAAGAACTGGAGAAGGTAACCAAACACAAAGACCTGCAAACAGAAGTAGAACGACAGTGGCAAAAGAAGTCAAAGGTAGTTCCAAGGGTAATAAGTGCCTTAGGTTTAATCCCAAAACATCTGGAGCACAATTTCAACGGCGTCGGCATTGCCAAAACCAAAATCTCCGTCCGTCAAAAGGCAGCTTCTCTTGGAATAGCTCACGTCCCGCAGTGATACCTTTAACACCATCAAGTCGCAGCATCTGCATATCCCAAGTCTTTGGAAAGGGCTTGATTGGAGGATAAGACATATAAGGAACGGTTGCTGGAATTGGGGATGTCTAGTTTAATGAAGAGAGGGACGAGGGGGGACAGGATAGCAGAGTTCCAGTATCTCAGGGGCTGCCCCAAAGAAGAGGGAGTCAAGCTATTCTCCAAAGCGCCTAAAGGCAGGACAAGAAGCAACGGATGGAAACTCATCAAGGAGAGAAGCAACCTAGAACTAAGGAGGAATTTCCCGACAGTTAGAACAATTAACCAGTGGAATTCCTTGCCTCCAGAAGCTGCGAATGCTCCAACACTGGAAGTTTTCAAGAAGAGACTGGACAGCCATTTGACTGAAATAGTATAGGGTTTCCTGCCTGAGCAGAGGATTGGACTAGATGTCCTCCAAGGTCCCTTCCAACTTTATTATTATTATTGGATCAAAACACCAAATCCCGTGTGATGAACCCTAATACTAAATCACAAAATATAAAGTACCTGCAAATAGAAGTAGAACGACTGTAGCAAAAGAAAGCTAAGATGCTACCAATGGTGATAGGTGCCCTGGGTGCAATTTCAGAACATCTGGAACGCCACTTGAACACCATCAGCATTGACAAAATCGCTGTCAAGTCAACTGAAAAACACAACTTTACATCAGAACGGTCTCCATCCCGCAGCGATCCCTTTCACCCCTACCAAACAAGAACATCTGCCCGTCAAAGGTCCTTGGGAAGGACTTGACAGATGTACAAAAACGCCAAAACCCAGTCTAAACATCTGGCTGACTGTGCGACCAAGCCCAATACTTCCATTCCACAATGAAGTTTAGTTTTCAGCGGTCATTGTCAACATAATGACTAGGTGCTGCAACAAGATGAAGGGTTTCCAAAAATAAAACCAATCGCAATATAGCTTAGGGCCATAGGGCAAATTTAGCCGAAAAATAAAAAAAGTACTCGCCGTAAACCAGTTTTCCCCAACGAGATGCCCAGCGAGTAAGCTAGACCACATTACCCTATCACTCTCAGGAAGCACAGCCAACAGGCATTTTAAATTGATCTTTAAAAATCATACTTTTGGCCAACTTTCCTAAAAGTTCAGCGAAAGACAGGAGTCTGGACTGCTATAGTATACCACCCATTCTTATTGACTTGAACAAAAGGCAGTAAGGGCTTTTTCTGAATACAGGGAGTCCTCAACTTACAACACTTTGTTTAGTGACCATTCAAAGTGACAACAGCACTGAAAAAAAGCGGCATACGGCCGTTTTCCACACTTATGACCGTTGCAGCATCCCCGTGGTCATGTGATCAGAATTCAGATACTTGGCAACTGACTCAGTGTTCCAGTATCTCAGGGGTTGCCCCAAAGAAGAGGGAGTCAAGCTCTCCTCCAAAGCGCCTGAAGGCAGGACAAGAAGCAAAATAGATGGAAACTAACCAAGGAGAGAAGCAACCTAGAACTAAGGAGAAACTTCCTGACAGTTAGAACAATTAATCAGTGGAACAACCTGCCTCCAGAAGCGGTGAATGCTCCAACACTGGAGGTTTTTAAGAAGAAACTGGACAGCTATTTGTCTGAAATGTTATAGGGTTTCCTGCCTGAGCAGGTGGTTGGACTAGATGACCTCCAAGGTCCCTTCCAACTTTATTATTATTATTATTATTATATCCCCTCCACACCTTTTAATCTTTGTTTACAACATGTCAACACAACAATTCAAGCACCGCCTTTTATTTAAACTTCCCAAAGGCAGCTCAACTGTGGTCTTAACGCAAGGACTACCTTCACCCATTGTGTCTTTTATGGACTAACCCAGAGGTAGGCAACCTTGGCTCTTTTATGACTCGTGGACTTCAACTCCCAGAATTCCTGAGCCAGCCTGGCTCAGCTTGGAAACCTCTCCCTTTCCCCTCAGCACGGCTGGCTCAGGAATTCTGGGAATTGAAGTCCGCAAGTCATGAAGGGACCATAGTTTCCCCATGCTGGCTCAGGAATTCTGGGAGTTGAAGTCCGCAAGTCACGAAGGGGCCATAGTTCCCCATGCTGGCTCAGGAATTCTGGGAGTTGAAGTCCACCAGTCATGAACGGGCCATAATTCCCCATGCTGGCTCAGGAATTCTGCGAGTTGAAGTCCACGAGTCAAAAAAGAGCCAAGGTTGCCTCCCCCTGGACTAACCGTTCAAGCCGCTGCTGTTTTATTTTGTTGGAACAACGCAAACTCAAGAATCTTACACTGGAACCACTGAAAGGAGACTGTTTTGTTCGGAGCCTGAACCAAAAGGTGTTTCTCATTTCACGCTCACCCATATTAAAAGGCTGCCCGAGAAGTTGGAAGAGGGCTGTTGAGGAAGGATAAATGGCATCAGATAAATAGACACACGCATCTGTCCATAGGCTCCTCTCTCTCGCACCCCCCGGGCTCAATATTTCAACCCCAATTCCAAATGATGTTGGCTTTCCTTCCTTCCTTTGACCCTTCCTTTTTTTCTTTTTTCCCCCATCCTGCTCTTTTGCAGACTTAAGTCTTCGCTGCTAAAGGATCAAGGCAGAGGACTCAATCTCATCCCGGCCTGAGCTAGCCAGGCACGAGATCAACTTGGGGGATTTGATTTGATTTGCCTGAATATTTTCCTCCTTTTGCGTGGCCAGGGTTGAAACAAAGTCTCTTGCAATAAATGCTGCGTAGCCCCACGCTTGGAGGATTTCCTGAAACAGAAGAGCGGGATGACCTCATGCCTTCCTTCACGCTGATCAAGGTAGGAATGCTAGGATGGCTTCGAAAAGGCACAATTTCAATCCACGTCTGAAGCAACAGCATTTCTCTAGCCCAGTGGTTCTCAACCTTTTTAATGCCGCGACCCCAACCGGTCGTAAGTCGAGGACTAAACCGGTCGTAAGTCGAGGACTAAACCGGTCGTATGTCGAGGACTAAACCGGTCGTAAGTCGAGGACTAAACCGGTCGTAAGTCGAGGACTACCCAACCGGTCGTAAGTCGAGGACTTTCCCTGCCCGGGAGCGCCGCGCATGCGTGGTTCCGCCCCCTGCGCCAGCCGAGGCGTAGCTGGCAAGCGGCAGAGACGGAGCAGGCCGACCACCAGCTGGCCCAGCCCAAGGGAGG